CGCGGCGGGGCAGCCCCTGGGAGCGCCGCTCAAGGCGGATGCCGGGTAAAGCCAGCTGCGAGCGCTGTGCACGGAAGCGCCTGCTTTCACGGTGTGTTTTCCTTTTGTGATTGAAGACATCGTTTTCAAAGACGGAAAAGAAAAAGAAACCGCGTAGCACTAAGAGATATACACTCGGAATTCGCTCCCTCCCCCCCCCGCCCCCCGGGAAATGCCCTGGAGCCCCGGGCCCCTCGGGCGGGTCCGGTGGGTCCGGCGGCCACTCCCCTAGCCCTGGCGCTTCCGCACAGCCCGCTGCAGAGGCGGGAAGCTGTCCCGGAATGTGACCGAGAGGCTCTTCGGGCGCCGAGCCTGGGCTTTGTGCCGCAGCTCACACCTTCCCATGACGCCTGGACAGAGGGCCGCCTCCCGGAGGCTGAGGACCCTGGGCCGGGCGCTGGCGGGGCCGGCTCTCCCAGAGGCTTCGCGTCTCGGATTAGCTGGCGAGGGAAACTGAGGCAGGACCGCAGTCAGGGCCCGGGCTTCTGCTCCCGCACAGCGCTCCGCCCACACCACCCCTGTGTTTGGGGGAACGCGTGCCTCGGGGGAGGAGACGGTTTTTGATGCGGGAATTACAGCAAATGCCGCTCCTTCCGAGTTAAACCTCCGCCTTCTGGTTTCCTTTTTAGAAAATCGATGCACCAGCGGGCCTCCTCGCCCTGCGGGCCCCTGGTGCGCAGGTCTGTCTCCTGCAAGGACCTCCGGGTGGCCTTGGAGGCCCCGGGCATCTACCTGCACAGAAGCAACCGGAAACGCAGGGCCTGTGGCTTAGTTTCCCAGGAGAAGCAGTGAGCAGAGACCTAAGGAAATGTCAGCTATGAATACCGAGCGTTTGCGTGACGGCTGCGTGATGGCGGCATAATTAGACGGGACAGAGACATTTGAAAGCGTTTGATGGAGAAGTTTAGCACCACCCGTCAAGCAGGGTTCAACTGGGAGTGAGAGACTGGTGAAAAGTCAGGATACATATAACGTTCTTTTCTGGGGAGACCCTAGCATCTATTCATTCCTGCCTCCTTAGGGCTGCGGGCAAGGTGGGGGTGTGAGAGAACGTGGGCATGGCTCAATGGATAGAAAAAATAGATTCTGAGAAATGAGGTGCTTTTCTAAGTCAGGGGGACAGGATCCCTTTCCTCCAGCTGATAACCTTTCCTATGACCCAAATCAGCGGAGCAGAGTTTGGCATGCCTTAGAGTCAGGCAAGCTAGAGTCGCCTGCTCCCTCCCCCACCCACTCACTATGTGGCTTTGGGCAAATCCCTAAAAATCCAGCCTCATCTGTAAAATGGGGATGTAGGCATGACAAGAGGCCTCCTTTCTCTTCCATGATTCCCACCTCAGGGGCTTTGCACTTACCGTTCCCACTGCCTGGAATGCTTTTCCCACATACATGTACGTGTAATGTCTGTGCATATATAAACACATATTGACATGTTTGTGTACCTGTGTGCATGTCTATATGTGTATATATAAACAGATCTAGACATATATAGATGTGTGTCTATTTGCAGAGATATGTCTATATATGTTTGTATATGAATAAACAAATTGCAGCACATTTACACACAGGAATGCCACATAGCTGTTAAAAGGAGTGAAAGAGATCTACAAGTACCCAAAACACACAGGCCTCAAGAACTAACGTTGAGTGAAAAAAGTAGCTGGATGGTAGACTCAGTAAAAGAAAGTAAGAGCAGACAGCATGGCCCTGAGACTGTGGCTGCCCCTGAGGGAGCAAGAGGAGGTAGGAAAAGATGGGAAAGAGGAGGGAGGGAAAGAGTGAGACTGCAGGGCCCCAGCCGGTGTGGCTCAGTGGATAGAGCGTCGGCCTGCGACTGAAGGGTCCCAGGTTCAATTCTGATCAAGGGCACGTACCTTGGTTGTAGGCTCCCGGCCCTGGTCGGGGGCATACAGGAGGCAACCAATCAATGTGTCTCTCTCACATCAGTGTTTCTTTCTGTCTCTCCATCTCTCTTCCACTCTCTCTAAAAATCAATGGAAAAAATATCCTCGGATGAGGATTAAAAAAATAAAATTAAAAATATATTTAAAAATACAGAATGGGCCTTCAGGGAGAAAGAGAAGGAGGGAGAGAATGGGCCTGTGGGAATTTAAGAGGACTTCAGCTGTGTAGATAGAGTCATTTCTTAAAAAAAAAAAAAAAAAAAAAAAAACAGAAGAAAATATGACAAAATGTTACAGTTTGTTTAACGTGAATGCACTGGGGTATGTATATTTCATATTTTAAAAGGAGGGAGAGAAAGGAAATGAGATTCCAGCCCCCGATTCCAGCTTTGCCACTGGACCTCAGACAGAGGACATAGGTTCTCGGAGGCCAGTTCTCACAGAAGGATGAGTAACACTCAATTCAGAGCCCTGCGAGCTGGTGACAGAGGCGTCTGAGGGAGGGACAGGACGCCGTGCCATGTGGCAGGAGCGTGAGTCCCAGTGCCTTTCCAGAGGTGCCCTATGCAGAGAGACATTTGTTTTCAAAACTGATCAGGAATCATGTGGGTGCAGCTTCAAGCAAATCTGACGCCAAGAGAAATAACAGGCGCTGCTGTCCCAGCACACACTCTGCACCGCAGGCCCGGACACGCCGGACAGGTCTGCGCGGACTGATCGCCTGGACGGAGGGCGCGAGTGGTGGAAGGGAAGCTTGACTTTCCTCTGCTGTTATTTTAAATGATGTGCCGTGTGTGCAGGTCACCTGCTCAGAAAACAACTCATTTATTTATTGGCAGTATTATTTTTAAATTAATTGAAAGGCCACGATCTTGTCCGTTCCTTCCATTCTAAACCTACTCAAAAAGCAGAGGCCCTGAGTCCCATTTCTGAAAGGCTCTCACGAGGTTGTATAGTCAGCCTCCTCCCTGAACACCCAGCCCCATGCTGCCTTGAGGTCGCACAAAGGGAGGAGAGGGTGTGAGATTGGTGCTTAGGGAGGCCGGGCAGTTCCCTCAGCTCCCTGGGCCCTGGGGCACTCCTGAAGGGCGCATGGGGCAGCCCCACCGGCTCTATCAGAGGAAAAAGTAAGTTGCAACATGAGCATCAAACTGTGTCAAAATAGCACCCGCACATTCACGGGAGGTGTGATTTGCCGGGCAAACGTGATCTCTCCAAAGCCTTGGCTCTGTCTCCCCGACTCTCGCAGGAGGGCCGGCCGCCTATGCCCGGGCCCCCTGCGGCCAGGGAGACCTCTGGCTTCCGAGATAAAGCAGGTCCTCCTCTCCCCGCAGCGAACATCCTGACGGTGATCATCCTGTCCCGGCTGGTGGCGCGGAGGCAGAAGTCCTCCTACAACTACCTCCTGGCGCTGGCCGCCGCCGACATCCTCGTCCTCTTCTTCATCGTGTTCGTGGATTTCCTGCTGGAGGACTTCATCCTGCGCACCCAGATGCCCGCGGTGCCCAACCAGGTGGTGGGCGTGCTGGAGTTCTCCGCCATCCACACCTCCACCTGGATCACCGTGCCGCTCACGGTGGACCGCTACATCGCCGTCTGCCACCCGCTGCGCTACCACGCCGTGTCCTACCCCGCGCGCGCCCGCAGGGTCATCGCGGGCGTGTACGCCGCCTGCCTGCTCACCAGCGTCCCCTACTACTGGTGGCCCGACCTCTGGGCGGAGGGCCACGCCAGCTCCGCCGCGCACCACGCGCTCGTCTGGGCGCACTGCGTCACCGTCTACCTGGTGCCCTGCTCCATCTTCTTCGCCCTGAACTCGGCCATCGTGCGTCGGCTGCGGCGGAGGAGCGCGCTCCGCCTGCGCGGCTGCCCCGCGGGCCGCACTACGGCCATCCTGCTCGCCATCACCTCGGCCTTCGCCGCGCTCTGGGCGCCGCGCATCGCCGTCATCCTCTACCACCTGTACGGCGAGCCCGTGCGGAACCGCCGGCTGGCGCACGTGGTGGCGGACGTGGCCAACATGCTGGCGCTGCTGAACACGGCCGCCAACTTCTTCCTGTACTGCTTCATCAGCAGGCGCTTCCGCGCGCTGGCGGCCACCACGCTCAGGGCGCTGTTCACCTGCCGCAAGCAGCCCGCGCAGTTCCCCGCCAGCCACAACTTCTCCATCACCAGCAGCCCCTGGGTCTCCCCCGCCAACTCGCACTGCATCAAGATGCTGGTGTACCAGTACGACAGGGATGGTAAGCCTGCCAGCGCCTCCCCGTGACCCCGGGCTGATCCAGGCCGGGGTAGGAGGGCGGCGACAGAGGCTGCCTGCTTCCAGGGGCTGAGCAGCTCAGACTTCGGGTGAGAACAGACAAAAGAGAACAAAGTTTCCACTTGCGCCATTATTGTCACAAAGGCACCGTGACAGCTAAAGTCCCTGCCAGTTTGAAGGTCGTGTCATCACCCTGTGGCCAGTAAGGATGGGGTAGAGACACGTGTGAAATAGTCTGTGACTTGGCCCTGGCGACAGTCACACTCACCGGAACTGTATGTGGCGCCTGAGGCGCAGTACCCCTAGCTGAGCCACTCTTCTTCAAAGAGCTGGGGTCACCCGTCACTTCCCAGTGCTCTTCCCAGCAGCTAGCAGTGCTGACCAATTTGGGATTTTTCTGGAGTGCCCTGTGTCCCAGAGAAGCTGTGGTTTTGGAGTGGCCCCAGCACTCCTCGCTGCAAAACGAATCTGTGAGAACAGTGTGGTATCGTGTCATCACCCTGTGGCCAGTAAGGACGGGGTAGAGACATGTGTGACCCTGGCCAGAGCTTCTTCGGAAAGACTCCAAACCAACATCACTCTACCCTCAGCCTTTGAGGTCCGAGGCACAGTCTTTCTATTCACCGTGATGTGGACACTTTATCCATCTCCTTCAACGCAGAAACCCTACTGCTGCATGGCGGAGAGGATGGTTTCTTGAGCCCAGAAGAAAAAAGCCCACTTTGCCATTGTTTCAGTTCACCCGTGTGAGCTGTGTGCAGTCCTGTTAGTCGAACAGCTTCCTGCTGCAGCCCTGCTGCCCTTCCCGGAGAAGCCTTTCGCACACAGAGCCGCCACCGCCTCCTTGCTTGCTGAAGCCCCCACCACCTCCTTTTATTTGAAGTGACTTCTGAGCTGGATTTGATTTTCAAGGGCCAAGAGCTGTAGCTCTCCAGGTGTGAAGACGGGATTCTCTGCTTTGCCCACAGGCCAGCTGGCTTTGCCATCCAGCCACACATGCAGACACACACGTGCAGGCACACACATACAGGCACACACATGCAGGTACATACACAAGCAGACACACATGCAGACACGCGTGTTCGCATACACATGCAGGCACACACATGCAGACACACACATGCAGACACAGTTGACATGGTGCCCGTGTTGTCCACTTGTCTGCCCTTGGATGCACATGGCGCAGGATGGTGGTGAAGCTATTTAACCCAGATCCTTTGCAAAATGATAAAATATAAATTTATGTATTTATTCTCCCCTTGCCTATCCAAGGCAAGAACAGTACGAGGTGGTAATTAATAGCAGCTTCCCTGGAAATTACCACCCATGCGTGCGCATGCGTGAGCACACACACACACACACATGCACGTGCGCCCATACACACAGTTGACTATATTAGCTTCTGTGTATCTAGTGATGTGTTTGAAAGGAAAAGCCACACTGGAGCTCCTCTTATTCCACCTTTCGTTCTCTCTCAGATTCCCTGTTCTGGAGGAAATCACCCAAACAGCTTTGGAATTGCGTAAATAGTCTTCGTGACCAAACAAACAGCAGACGGTCCGCCTGAACCCTTGGTTCCTCAGCATTTTTGTTTCTAAATTAGAAGACATGTCCCCCTTTTCCAGGGAATTGGATGCGTGAGCGCAGTAGTGAGCGCCCAGAGCCACAGAAGCCCTGAACGTCAGCCGGTGCCCTCAGTACTGACTCCGTGGAATTTTAGGTCATGTTAGTCCTGATGATCCTAATTCCCGCTCCTTTTTACTAGTCACAGTAGAATATCATCTTACCCAAAGTTTCGATATGAAAGTCAGTGCAGAAAACAAAAACCAGCAGAGCCGAAGCCGCCCGCCCGGCAGCACCCTCTGCAGGGAGCCCTAGTGGGGCCACATTCTATCCTTAGAACAATCGGACACAGCAAGTCTTGCTCCAGCAACGAACAGATGCTGTTCTTCAGTCTGAGGACAAGATAGAACTGGCTTGTGTTTGGGGACACAAGGTCTGACTCTACAGTGTGTGAGAATGTTAGGCTCAGTGGCAGGCTCCCATTAGCAGAGGCTCATAGAGCCATGAGACTGGGGAGCAAGCAGGTTCCTGCCACTCTCCCCAAGGCACCTGCGCCCCGAGTGGCATGGCGGGCAGGCTCCCACACCCCTAAAGTTGCATTTCTCTGTTTCTTTTTTGCTAAGCATGTGTAGTCAGATGTGTGTTCATTTAACATGTGTATGAGGAGATTCCACCACACCTCCTATGAATAAACATTGACCAGTGGCTGCCTACACTTACATTTATAGTAGCCCGTCATTCTGAACATGCCAGCTTGAGCACATGTGAACGGGCCGAAATGCAATGTCCATGAAGGTTAGGCAGTTCCTTTTTTAGAATGCATGTAAGATGGGAGAGGTATGTGTGCGCTCAGTGCTCTCCGCTCCATGGTTTGAGTTACACGTGAAAGGTCATTGCTGATGTTTAAAAGTAAAAGCTGGGCGTGCGTGTGAGGTGTTTTCCTTGTTCACTCACTTGTCACTTCTGTTAACAGTAGAGGCTGCACCAAGTAGCCCTGTGACCCCTTCCTTCTGACTGTATTTTGTATTTTGATAAAATGATATTTAAAAGAGGTCTAGTTTTAAAATTTTTCCTTTTGCATTGTTTATTTTTATTTTTCAATTACAGTTTGCTTTCAGTATTATTTTGTATCAGTTTCAGAGTTAGACAATCACATTCTTTTCAATCACATAATTTCCCCCTGATATTCACGGTGCCCACCTGGCACCATATATAGTTATCACAATATTAATGACGCTGCAACATTAAAGTACAAAATGCTGTACTTCACATCCCGACGCTATTTCATTACTGCCCATTGGTACTTCTTCACCCTTTACAGACAGTCTGATTCTTGTAGGCACTCTGCGGTACTGTCTTTTGACTAAAATGCATATGAACGCCTGTTGGGTTAGGTTGATATATGTCTCCTAAATGCATTTCAAATAATCTATGGACTTCTAATTTATTGTTATTTTCAATTTATTACTATTTACAGTAATAATTGTGGGCAATAATGAAAAGGTTTTTTTTAATTTTGTCTTTTCCTTAGACCAGTTTGGAAATAAAGCCTTGCATTTTGGAGCTGCCATGTAAGCAGCTGCTGCTGACAGCACCAGGCAGCTCCCTCCCAGGTCTCTGTGGTGCCGCTAGCTGCCTCTTGTTCTCCGTGTCTGTGTCCTTCTGGACACGCAGTGATGCTCCAGACACACGCACTATGTCTTCTGGGTGAACAATGTGAGGACTGACGTGTCTCATGGGGAAGGAAATGAGGAGGATGAGAGACAAACCATAAAAGCCAGGAAACGAGAGGGCACACACTTCATTCTGCAAACACTGCAACTGGAGAAGATTACTTTGCACAGTTGTTCCTCCTTGTCCAATGGGGAGGCCTATCTGAAGTGAATATAAGACACTAATGTAGGCTATTCCAGCTCAAGTAACGGGATAGAGTGTTATAATAGAAAACCAGGAAATGTTCATATTTTCTTAATTAGAAAGTACATTGTATTTGGACTTGTCTGTATTATAATAAATTCTAATATGGTGCACACGTGGTGTTTGGTATTTGCATATATGTTCAAGCCCTTGCAGAACACTGACTCAAATTGTTTCGATGAGCATCTTGCTTATACTTCGTTCTGATCCGGCCTACATTCTGGTGAGTCAGATATCTTTCAGAATTTAAGGCCGCTGAACTCAGATTCCAGCGGTCCTGACTTAGGCAGCTTGCTGGGTGTAAATCTGAATGCTCTTATGTCCACATCTTCTCTGTGTCTTCCAGACAGTCAGAGCTCATTGTAGGTAGAAACCTAGCATAAGGCTAAGAGCTTAGACTTAGAAGTCAGACAATCATGGGTTCACGGCCCAGCTCCACCATTGACCAGATGTATGGCCGTGAGCAAAGCCCTGAGACCTCTGAAAGGCCATCCTCAGGCAGAAAAATGGTGCATGAGATAATTTTTTCCCAGTTGCCTGCAAGGTATGTATGAGCTTTCATGGTCAGTAAGCCAAGGTTTGAGTCCATTATTGTGAGCTATAACTTTCCCGGCTCTGCCACTTCCTACCTGCATGGCCCTGGGCAATGTTCTCAATCTCTCTGGGTCTCCATTTCCCCTCCTAAAACAGGGGTAACAATAACCCAGGACATACCTCATGGGGCAATTACTAGCAGTAGAACTAAAAAGAGCCGCCAAGTGTACATCCTTTCCCAGGAGAGGATGCGGGGCCCAAAGAGGTTAATGATTTTGTCCAGAGTAGAGGCCGGTCACCTAACATTCTATCCTCCCCACTCTGCCTCATCGCTTCCACGATTCGATTCTGACTCATGCTCCAAAAGGTCACATTATTTTTTGCCCTTTTTAGACTTGGGTAGACTGCATAGTTTTCCAACTCTTCAAACCCAGAGCATCCAAGCATGAGATCTATTATAAAAGCATCATAATTAAAATATTTGGTTTGACCTTCCCCTGTGAGGGAAATACTTCAAATTGACTGCACAGCTCTCATACTTGTTATGCATTTTCCTCACAAACCACCATAGATTCTGACAGCCACCCACAAACTGTTGTCACAATCCACCTTTGCATCAACTTGGAGAATGAAAGTAACTTACAAGCGGTTGAGAGGGAGATATAGGAAAGCAAAGACTTTGCTAGGAAGGTCACACATAGACGCTGTTAGGCATAGCCACAGCGTCCTCGTTAATTTTGCTCGCCATGCAGGGAGGCGGGAGAAGAGTGAAGTGATAGCAGCTGAACTGTGTAATAATAAGCCTCTGGTGGGTGTGCTCAGCTAAGTGTGACGGCTCAGCCTCTGCGGACGCGTGTGATGAATCCACATGCTTGCCAGGCACCACAAGGAAAAGAGGCTCGTGTCAACTGGGATAAATAGACACCAGGAGTTTCCTGGTTTATTTCGAGAATGTATCACTGTCATGCCAGAAAAATAAAACTTTTCTGATTAAAAAAAAACAAAAACAAACAGAGAAAATAAACCAGGGCCACTGGGAAGAGGATGCTTTCTCATCAGCTCTGCGGGAGGAGTCATGGGTCTCAGGTGCTTTATTGCCTGTGAGTGTCAGGAGCACATTTTCTCTCCACCGGAGACAGGACAGGAGGGTGAGGCTTAGACGCAGCATGAAGCATCCAGATTAAACTCCAAGAAGAAATCTCCACGTGATGCTACTAACTTTGCAAACGGTCTTTGCAGGCATCCGTAGGACCTATTTTCCCAGACATATTTCCACATGGACTATCAGTCAGTCTTGGAGGGAAGCAACTTTCACTCAGAGAGTTTCAATGAAAAGCCTTTCATCA